AAAAATACTAATAAATTTTTTTAAAATTGTGTTTAAAGCTTTAAAAATTGTTTTAGAAAAATATAAATATTTTAACAATAATAATTATGAACTATCATATTCTGGATATAATACATTTTACAGGCAAAATCCAAGTTACAGTCCCTAACAAAAGTTTTTCTGTATCTGCAATTTTCGAAAGAACTTGCTTAGAAGCATAAAATTTCATGCAGGGATAGTACATTGCATTTGTAGATTGTACTAACCTTTTGTGGCAGAGTTGATAGTAAAAATACCCACACTAACTATACACCCAATTTTTAGCCCAAAAAATACTGCTTTTTTTGTATCAATGATATAAAATCGTATTTTTGGCCATTCACCCAAAGGGTCCCAAGCTCTCAATGCGTAAGATGGCAAAGCAGGTTCACTGTAATAAAAAAGCAGTAAAACATTAGGTAAAAAGATGGCAAGAAGACAAAGATCTAAGTAACAAACCAAGGTCAGGCTATAAAAAGGCCATTACTCAAAAGCAAGACAAACAGATTTTGGGGCTAGCAAAAGAAAATGAAGATATTACCACCCAGAAATCTGCTGAAAACTGCTAAAGAAGAATGTAGACATTCACATGTGCACTATTCAATGGTGCCTTGGTGAAGGTGGGGTCTGTTGCTATTGAAAACTCTTTAAACCTTTAATCAGAGAAAAGCATCGAAAAAACGCCTCTCGTGGGTGAAAAAGCATAAGGATTTTAACTGGGATTCTATAATATTTATGGATAAAAGTACTTTTCGTTTGAATTAATAGCTAAAAAAGGCTTGGCAGTTTCTTGAAAAGAGAAAAATAACCTGTTCCATCAAGCATCCATTGAAGGTTCACATATGGGTTGTTTTTCTTCTTCAGGCTTTGGCAGGTTGGTCTTGTTCACCTGTAACCTCAATGCCAATATATGGTTACTCTATATGAAACAGGCCTCCTGCCTTCTGCAGAGAATCTTTTTGATAAACATTGTATTAATTAGATTTTGTAAGAAGATAATGATCCAAAACACTTCGAAAATTGTGAAGGCATGGAAGGAAGAAAATGACATCGAAAATTGTGAAGGCATGGAAGGAAGAAAATGACATCTAAGTTTTTCTCTGGCTATTGATGTCACCTGACCAAAACCCAATTGAGAATGTCTGGGGAGTCATGAAAATAAATTTGGCAAAAAAAAAATTAAAATCCTTAAGGGTTTAAAAGGAGAAATAACAAAAGAATAGAACTTCTTATCTAAGGAGTATGTGGCTAAATTAGTTGGGAGTATGAAATGTCATATTGAAGCCCTAATAGAAGCCAAGGGTAATTATACAATGCATTAATGATTATGTATTATTATTTATTTTTTAATAAAAAAAAATTTTTTATCTACTATAAATCCTTGTTGAATTAGAGATGCAAAAAAACTTTTGTCAGGGACTGTAATATCCAGGTATTATAGATAGTGACCAGAGACCCATAAAATTTTAGGTTTAAAAACTCAATTTTTCTAATAACAACAAAAAATTTAGACAAAATTTAGTTTAAATTTAAAATTTTTATATTCATTTTTTTGGTTTGTTAAAATACTTAATGTCGCAGCTGATGCTGAAATTTTTTCATATTTTATTATAAAATTATAAAAAATTTTTGGGCCTTTTTTTTACACTTTTTTTTCATAGTTAGGTTAGGGTTAGTAGGGTAGTTTTATTAATAAAAAAGTATATGTGGATTTTAGTAGGTATTATAGATTTAAATAAAGACCCCAAATTTCAGCATCAGCCGTTTTCAGCATCAGCTGCGACACTTAATAATTCAGTATTTAAATTTTGCTGATTGTTTTGAAGAATGTTATTATAATACAAACTTGTATGTTTTAGAAGTTAAATAAGTTAAGTTTGTATAAAATTTTATTAAAATAAAATATGTATCAGCAAATCAAATATTTTTTGAATCTACTGCACAGGCCCACATTATAGTAGCCTACTGCTAATGCAGGCCAGAATTATGAAATTCCGAAATATTCCACCTGTGCAGCATCCCATTTCTACTTATCACAAACTATAATATAATATGGAAATTTTTAGTTAAATTTGATAATTTTAGATATAAATTCTTTAGAATTTAAAAATTTTAGAAAATTTGAGTTGATACTTTAAATTTGAGTTTTTGTGAAAATTTTATACCTAAAATTTTACGGGTAACTTTTCATATAAAAAAAATTTTTACATAGGATATATCCTCTGGGTATTTTACATTCTACCGTGAAATGTTTTTAAAGGGGTACTATGGTCCGCGCTTTATGATATTATTATTATTTTTTTTGTAAAAAAGTGGATTTTAATTTTTACGTTATACTTTGATCTTGAAATTTGACTACGTAGTCAAAATGTACAGGGGTTAACCAAAATTTTTTGGATATGCAAGGGTTACACTTCTTGTGTTATGCGTAAACTTTCCAAATATGTATGCCATTATATAATCAAATATAATAAGGATCGATGATAAAATTATAAATTAAATTTGAAACTATTAATTTAAATGTCAATTATACCAGCAATTTGTTATTGGTCTCGATTCGGTAATCTAACACAAAATTTCTTTTTAAATTAAAAGAATTATAATTAATGGCTCCAAAACAAGCAAATACAAATGCATTAAATATAATGAAATCATTTAAGTAAACTGTCATGCGGCATGATGTACCGAGCTTTGCTGTAGATGGCAAAAATCCCGAGAGATTAAAATCCCGACTTTGAATGGATCCCTGTAGATGCATGTATGACCAATTTTAATATTCTGATGACCAATTATAATAACGTATTGTGTTTGATAACGGTTATCGTCATGTTTCGGTTTATTTACCAGTTATCTAATGTTTTTGTACATGTAACAGTATTCGTTCACTTTGTGATTCGGACTAAATATCTTGGCGATTAACCTTTTATCGAATATTGTTTTAAATTAAGATTACATAAATTTTATTAAGATAATCTATTTTAATTTTTTAAAAATAAACCCAATATCTAAAACTATATAATTATATAATTTTTAAATCAATTCATTAATTAATTATTTAAACTTGGGACACAGGCTATAAGCGTGCTTGCGTTTGCGTGTAGTAATCTTCATTTTACTTAAAAAAATTCTAAGAATGGAAAGGTAGAATTGTCTTTCTAAAAGTGAATTCAGTTATCTACGTATGTTGTCACGTGACGGGTGAATTTTAGAAAAATGATGCAAATTTTTAATCATCCCAAAGGGACATAAGAATACATGATTTAATAATTCTAGGAGCTGTATAAAGTTGTTTATTAATCCACAAAATGGTTGCTTAGTATTAAAATATCCTCTATCTGTCATCGACTCATCAAGATTTTAATAAGGTATTTTCTACCGTCATGTAATGCCGTTCGAGTTGCTTTATTATCCCGCCAATTCCTTTAGTAATCTAATAACATAGCTCGTCTCTTCAAGGTTTCCAGGCCGTATACTTGATGGTTCACCCCATTCCATCTTCAGATTTAACGCGTAGGTTTGGATATTTTTGTAAATAATAAATTGTTTGCCTTGAAAGTTGTGTAGGTCGGACTTTTGTTCCATTTATCTAACCATATGCCATTCTTTTTTCGTTGAGAGACTATCAATTTTACTACGATGGGAATTATTTCTTCTAACGTGATCTTTGTAACACCATTTCTTTTAAACGGGAATAATAATTTTTTTTCTCTTGGATTGAGCATGTTGATATTCCGAGATCAAAAAATTTACTGCATGTACATTGCAGCTGACCGAGAATGTTCTTTCTAAAATTACGTGTAATATTAAATGAATGTCAATTGTCAAAAAAAGTTTACAACTTACAACTATTTTGAAACTCACATACCACTAGGAAAACTTTTGAATATTTGCCGTTATGAAAAGTTGTTATGATGACATCCAGGTCAACTGTGCTGTCAGGATCGAATTGTTTGATAAGTCAATTACTCACAACTGAAAAAAGAAACGGATTTTGCACTGTTAATAAATGTATCGCTTTTTGTAGAAAAGAAAAATACGTAGAATGAGGCATTTACCTGAATCGTCAACATAAAAGTTGTTCAAATTTTTAAAGCGAGATTAATTACTTTTAGTGATCAAAAAATTCAAGAGAAAAACAGTAAAAGTCAATTTACATCTGCTGGTATCCTATTGTCTAACTAGTCCATCGAATAGTGTCACCTTGTATTTTATTTAACGTAGAAAGGTATTTAATAAACGCGAGATTTTTCTTGAAGAAAAGCTCAATTATTGGTTTATCATTGAAATTAACATTCTTGCTTGCACAAGTCTTAAGGCATAAGAATGCATTACCCAAGTTGTTTCAAATATTCCTATATCACTTAAGGTAGGAACGAGACCGTGACTTTTGGCCTAGGACGGACACTGAAAAGTTATTTTTTTTAAAAACTCGAATGCTAAAAGTCGTTGACTTTCTGGGAAATTAAATACAACTGGTTTTTCAAGTCGTGCCAGGCGGACAAATGGTAGGGAATTATTAATTCAAAACCCGTCATGTCAAGGTCATCGATGTTCCATTCATTCAGTCTAATAAAGAATTCGGTTATTTACATGGTAAGGTTTACATTATTGAATAACGAGATTATTAATGTATATACGTAGAAAATTTGTGGCTTCCTTCGAAATTGTAGTAAACCGCTCCCTATTTAAAAAGAAACAACGATGGCCAAGTTTTAAAAATATATATATATTACGATATGCTTGAAGTTATTCTTATGTTGTGAATGATATTTACAATGGTTATTCATTCAAAGTATTCACCAGAACGGGACCGAAAAGACCGAGTGCAAAGAGACCTGCAGGTTCCAGTGCAATGCTACCGGCACCCAACTACAGTTGGCATCTAGATTATCGAAGAATCATATAAAACATTGAGGAAATTCCAAGTTGAAATCTTAGTAAAATTTAGACTCTTTATAAATTTTATTGGGAACCATCACAACCTATACGGTATCGTAAGGAGACATGGATATATCCCCATATCCAATCCAATATGGGTCGTCGGCGTGTCGGGCAGGTTCAATTAGATTTTTAAAAAATTCGGGCCAAATTTCATCACCATATTCAGACAATAGTTCATCAGCATATTTGATGATTTTAATTGATAACTGACTTTTTTCATTATTTCCGAATAATTCTTCGGGAGAGGGAGAGCGAATCAAACTAACTATTCTATCTCTTATATTCGTGAAGGTATTAATTTTTTAAAATGGTTTAATACTTATTTATATTCTAAAATCATAGTGAATTTTATTTTTTTTAAAAAAACGGAAAATTTTAAGTGGTTTAAGTAGTTACAGAAATTACTCTGCTTATACACTTTTGATATAGGAACTAAGAGCCGACATAATATTATAAACGCGTTAATTTGTTATATGCACCATATTCAAGTTTGTAATGATTACTGCTACTAGCATTTCATAAATGCTAATTATACTGCATGAGAATAATTGTACTTTTTGGGAGTGTTAGTTGGGATGTATGGTAAGTTAGTGGTGTCCAAAAAATTTCGCCTCTTCTTGTAACCCGACTAGGCGATAATGCTGGTCATATATATGATAGCAAAATTCCAATCTGAGCAAATTTACTTAGTAAGTTAGCTAGTGGTTTATAGTAAAATTTGTTGATTTTGGGCAAATTTAATTAACTAGTCTCAGGGCACGTCCTTACGCCCGTGCTATAGGAATTATAAAGCAAAACTATAATGAAATATGGTTATTGTATGTCAGTTTCGTACAAAATAATTTTGGCTTATTCTATCCAGAATATTTTAGAGTAGCAAGTTCACATGTTTGATTTGGACTAAGTGCCTTATGCCCAATAGAAAAGTATGGACAATACGGACATAGTCCATAAATGTCCATTCCAATGGTCCATAATGTCCATGTTCATATTTGCCAACACTGATTTTAAGTGATGATCTACTTGATGTGAATCTTTTTAATATAAATTATTTTTGTAACTTTATTGAATGTATGTATATCTATTCAAAAAAATCAAATAAAATTTTTGAAAATTACAAAATAGGATGTTTTAATACGTGACACCCATTATACTAAGTCACGTGAACATTGTACTTATGTATAATAGACATGACATGACGTACATACGTACTCCTTGGTATTGCAAGAGTTGAATAATCCTCAGGATTTTGTTATAGTATAAATCTGAATATTATAACAACATTTACTATGGCACTATATCTTCATAATATTTGTGGTGGATTATGCTGAAAATTTTTCATATTTTATTATGAAATTGTAGAATTTTTTTAGGGCCTTTTTTTTTTATAGTTACTGTAGGTTAGGGTTAGGGTGGTTTTATTAATAAAAAAAGTATATGTGGATTTTAGTAGGTATTATAGATTTAAAAAGGAGTCTCAAATTTCAGTATAATCCTCCGCATTAATTACATTAATTTAATTAGGAAATACCAAACTTTAATTATTATTCAATGCATTTAAATTATCTGAATAATAGCCTTTTACGATTTTAATCTTATTTAAAGATATTTAATCGGTAAATATATTTCGTATTTTAGTGGTTTAAATCAAGTGTTGAAAATTCGGCACAAATATGCTGTGCAAAAAATCTTTTTATACAGGAATGTTCGTTGTGCATGTATTGTTTTTTGCACAAAAATTATGTGTGTGTGTGTGTGTGTGTGTAATGCAGTATGCAAAATAATTAGTCTGTAATATTATGTATTATGTAAAAAACGTTACACAAATATCAACCAATAGATTTGCAACAATACGTGATTCTGTTACACAAAATCCGGTACACGAATATAGACCAATCAAATTCGGTTTATTCCGACAGACATTAAAATTTTAATAGTATATATACACTAACCTACTACCTCATGAGAGTATGGTTTCTTCTGGTAGGTCGTTAGATCATTCAATGATCTCCGCACGTGTTTATAAATGTCAGTTTCCCCGATGTTAGAGTGAGAAATTGTGTGCCCTTTGGCTCTTCTGCTAATAAAGAGAATTCTCAATTTTCCTGCCTAAATGCCCAATTAACATGAATGCATAATAAACCTAGGAAGCTTAGTTTCATCCCGATTCCTTGCATTGCTCGTAAACAAGTGCCCATGACCTTTAATCTCTAGCTTACTATCTTGAACTAACGCGTTATTATCTATTGCTCTCCCTCCCATGATCATATGTCAATAAACATACGAAAGAATGTTTGTAATCCTTTCCCCTCAATTTGCATTAAATTTACGTATAGACTTAAATAAAACGTATTTATTACTCGCATGATGTCAATACTATTTGGATCGTGCTACAATGTCATAGTGATAGTACATTCTGATTCTTAAATCCGACCATCTGGATTGATCCCTCAACTCAGATATTCGGATCAATGAATAATGGTCCTAAGGATGCGCCCAAAAACTAGCTTATATATAATATAATGCGGATTCAACCTGGATTTGATAGAATCCGGATGACCGATATAAAATAGGATCGAAAAACGCATCAAATCTTTTTTAATGAAATTTTTTAAATCTTTAAACAAAAATAACTCAACAAAAACTTAATCAAGTTTAGTAAAAAATTTTTTAAATGATTTCTAACTAAGTTTTTTAGAATTGGTTTAAAAAATTTGATTAAGTCATTGTTGCGTTATTTTTGTTCAGTTTTAAAAAACTTACTTGGAAAAAATTTGGCGCGTTTCTACTGATCACCCTCATATACCAAGAATACTACACAAATTGTACACGTAAACCTTTTCTCGTTCTATATTTAATGCAGAATTGTTTTTATTTTTATTATATGTATAATACTAGGAATCTTTAAATAATCTTTAAAATTTGACTAAAACAACTCTTTATTTGATCTCTCTAATGATTTTACAAATCAAATGTCAAGACAGGATATAAAGTAGTCGCGACGAAGCATCAAAAAACCAATATTTTTATTACTGAAAAGCTTCCGTTGTTGCTCAATTTCTCGATTCCCATATAACCTTATTTTCTGAAAGACAATCCATTTCGCCGGTAGAAGTTTTTACCAAATGCTTTTTTCCCGATCAAACTAATTTCCCGATAACCTGATTCCTCGACAAAATATAATAACAGTCTATAGTTTTTAACGTTCGGAGTGATGGTAGTTGCAGATAAATGACTTAATACGAAAATGGAATATCAAAATTACGTCTTACCAGTAAAATGGATTTCGGGAAGTTAACCCGTAACCAAGTCTCTAATTTATCTCTAATGGTAAACACATAAGGCAAGGTCATTATTGCAAATTAGCAGTCCAGGCAGTGCACAGGGAAAAAGTATTCACATTGTCAAATCATTTTATTTAAGCATAACGCATAAATTACCGGAATGTTTTTTTTTTAAATGATATATGAAAAAGAGTTAACCATCATGTAATCATGTAAAAGTTTTTAATTTAATAAAGATAACCTCTTTTTTTTTCCCAATTAAAGATAATTAATTACGCTTTTAGAAAATTACTTTTTGAAAATTTTTATAAGCTAATTTATCGAGAAGTTGTCACGAAAAGTTTTCATATGTAAAATATATATTTATATAGGAAAATTTTAAAGTGACTTATCGATTAAAAGTATACTTGCCGCTCAAATTCCAACTTCAGAAGTTCTAAAAGTTTCAAACTATCGTTATGTGTTGATAATTTGCATATTCATATTTAAGGGTTATTTATATTTGGGACGATTTTAGTGATACTTTGGGCGGCAAGTATATTGCTTATAAAAATTTTAATATGCCTAAAAAAATTGTTTTTAAAAAGCGTAATTAGTTAGCTTTAATTGGTAATTTATTGTAGAGGCGTAAAAATAGATTATCTTAAAATTGGAAATCGCGAATACTTCTTTCCCTACTGTACATTTTTGACGTCAAAGCTATGAGGAACATAAAAAAATTTCGATTCAAGTTTGCCTAAATACGATAATTCGAAAGTTTACGCAAGTTTTAGTAAATCAGAATTCATTTAATTTTGATATAAAAATTACGCGACAACCTACAGGCTCGAATATTACCGTATTTCTCCGACATGTGTACCCTGTGACCCACCTAGTATCGCCACCAAAATCATGTACGTAATCGGATTTAAATTTATTTTCCGACATTAACTTTAATAATTGATACAATAATGACGACATTTGATTATTATTATTATTATTATTATTATTAATATACGTAATAATAACTATTTACGTTGAAATTTTTTATTTTTTTTGAATATCGTAAATTGGAAAATTCAAAACTTAATTCATTTTTTCGAACTATAAAACCCATTATTGCATTTCAAAGTATGGTTTGAGTGTTCGAAGAAGAAAACGTGAAGATCAAATTTAAGTGATATTTGTAAGCAAAAAGAGAATGCTATAAAATCCGAAGATATTAAACATATAGTTTATAGTTTATAAAAAGCTTATGGGTGGATATTTCTCGAATAATTAATGAATTAGAAGTAAATGACACCGAAGAAGTTTTTTCAAGTTCATTAACATTTGAGATCGTAAAGATCTGTGAAAAGGAGATGGTTATACCATAAAAAATACGAATCAAGACTACTTCATTTACCTATTGGTGTAACTGTCGCCGTGAACTTGAAAGAAGCATGAAAAAAAACAGATTTTTTATGCAAACAACTTGTTAATCCTCTTGGAAGATGGATACATCATTTTTTCGAAAGGTCTGTTATTATATTATTTTTTTTTTTAAAACAAAATTTAAATTTAATCTTATTTTAATTTAGGTGCAACGAAATTCTCAGTATTCTTTTATTTCAGAAGCTAAGAAAACTTTATGGGAAAATACTCGACCAACTTTAATTAATCATGTACAAGCTAATTTAAGAAAGTACAAAAAAACTCATGAGTATAAAGATTTTTTTTTTTATTATCACTATATTTTCATGTTATATAAATATATTTTATGTTTTAGAGCTCGATTATCTTGAAAAATCCAATAATCTTCCCAAACAAAAAAAAATTGCTTCGAAGGATTTTGAACGAGCAAAAAAACTTGGAGCGGTCGTAACAAAAACACATTTTACTGGTAGCATTTAAAGTTTATGCATGTATTTAAAAAAAAATGAATTAAATGTAAATGCATTTAAATATTTAATTGAAAATAATTCGACTTAGAATTTGCAGTGGTAATTAAGTAAATTCTAATAAATAATTTTAATAATAATAATAATAATAAATTCGATTTTGTTATTATTATGCTTGGATTGAAATTTAACAACTGATTACGTACATGATTTTGGTGGTGATACTAGGTGCGTTGTACCCTGTTAGAGCTGGCAACAGTTTTTGAGGCCAAATTTCCAAATTTTATTTAAGTATCTGGAATA